GAGTGGGACGGGACAGGAGTGAAACTCCACTCCCGTGTCAGTCTCTAGTGGGAAAGAACAGGAGTTGGAAGACGCGCCAGCAGCACTTTATAGGTCTGCTGTATGGGACCACTTTGCATTTAGAGTGACCTACGATGACGGCGGAAAGAAAGTTGAGGATAAAAACAGTGTTCAAGCATTGTGCAACATGTTTTGTTTATGCTAACAGCAACACGACCAACATGTCAGGCTAACAATCAACATATACTGAACCGAAAACCATGACCACGAAACCGTGAACCGAACCGTGGATTTTGAGAACTGTTTCACCCCTAATACACACACATCTATTTCAAACAGATGGTATCGGTATCGGGGCCAAAAACTGACATCGATGCAACACTAAATATAATTGAAAAGTGATTATTTACCAATTAGATGTGTTGGAATCACATAAAATCCCTCCGCAAAAAATATCACATCATTGTCTGGTTTGTTTGACTTTTTTTTTTCATTTATTTCTGTTTTTTTTTTCACTTAGAAACAAAAATCTGTAATCCATTAATGAACGGTGAGTCATTTTCTTACATGGTTGTAATTCAGTCATTGCTTAATGAAGTCTTAGTTTTCCATAAAAATTTTGATATTATTGAAAGCCTCTTCTTTAGTTGGAGGTTTATTATCAGGATTATTCAGATTCTAAACATGCTTTGATTTTTTCTTTTTCAGGTTAAATCCTGACCTGTGTTGTCGTGTAACTCCTTTAATAATGTGGGAAGTCATCCAGGACGTCTAGATAAGTCTGAAGAAGTTGTTCCATCCTTCTAATCTGCTTCTGTTTGAAAGAAGACCTTTTTTTTTTGTAGAAGTATGGATCCTCCTCCCAGGGTGGTGGGTCTGGATCCCCAAGCAAACATGGTTTTCACTGTTGTAAAGCCGGTAATGAGCATCTTCCAGGTGTCTCCAGAGCACGGCAGCAGCTTATCACAAGGCGGGATGGGGATGCAGGGTTTACTAGAACATCCACTAGTCCTGCCGCAGCAGGCGCAGCGTGAGGCCCAGTTAGCCCAGAACCACATGGAGATGCACAGCACTCCGCCTCAGATGGAGGTTTCTGCTCCGCTCCAGGGGGAGGGAGACGCCCACCACCAGGAGGCGCTGACTAACTCCACCTCTAGCTCTGATTCTATCACCAAGATGCCGTTTGCAGAGGTGTCTTCCCTCCTGGATCCCAACATGAAAGGATCTAAGGCCCGTAAGTCACCAGTTCCGCTTTAAACCCAGTCTGTTACCCCGCTGTGCTGATTGGATCCTCCTGTCTGACTTCTTTCTCAGGGAAATATCTCATCTCTTACGATGAAATCAAAAGGCGGCTGCAGGCCCCAGAGAACATGTCCCTGCGCTCTCTGGCGGCGTACACCCGGGTCAGCAGAGGTCCGGCCAGCAAGAAAACCCTTCTGGAGTCACTGAACGTCCTCGGCCTGACGCCGAGCACGACTACGGCGGTATCCTCCTCATTCTCCAAACTCACTGAAGGTGACAGACACTCCGACTCGACGAGCAGCGAATTCAGAAGCATCGCTAAATATTCCTGCCCGCTCAGCCTTTTCTCAATTTGTCATGTTACGACCACAAACTGTTTCTCTGCTTTGCAACTCTTAAAAAGAAGGAAAGGAAACATTATTTTCAATACTTTGTACAAGTAAAATATCCTAAAGCAGGTTTAATCATTTTTGCCAGCCTGACCTCACATGGTGAAGCTGCTGGTTGGTTTTATTAATGCCTTCAAAGATCTGAAGAAAGTCATGAAAATCATCAGCAAACATAGACGGACATAATCTAGTCAAATCAAATTAA